ACCTTTAGGAATTAAAAAAAAACTAAAGGCTGGAAATGTGATTAATATCAATCAATGAGGTTTCTTAGAAAACAGCATTTTTCAAGGGTATTTATATCTGTTATGTATCAATCATCTTGCAAGACTGACCAGCCAGTTGCGAAAGTGAGTTGTTTTAGGTTTTTGCAAAGTTTTTGACCATCTAACAGTGAGCTTGAAAACATGTGGGCTACTCAATAACCCATTGTCAACCAAAACAGTGGGAAAAGCTTGCAAAATGTCCTTGTGGGAGAATCTCTGTTGGGTTTCCCTGGAGTCTCCAGAAAGGATGGCCCATGGTCTGGCGTTATTCGGGCTCGTGCGATGACAGAGAGTAGAAAAGCACAGGGAGTACTGGCCTAACTGGATAGACGCTGTCTGTTGTGAGGAAAAGCCACGTCATTTCTCCTGCAGGCTAATGCAAGGTGCAATATTCGCCATGCGGCTTCTCCAGTGACTCTTGGACTTGGCCGAATTCAGATGGAGAGTTGGGTTTTTCCTTTCCCCAAGCCTTCAGTTACCTTACAGGCACCTTTTTACCTCATTTTCTAGATCACTTTCTTATTTTGCCCCCCTCTTCGTGCTACAGAGGAGTTTTAGCCTCTTTATTGTAGATTATGGACTTGGGATGTGCAACCCTATCTCTCCTAATTCAGCAATTACCCTTATTCTGTTTTTTCTTGCTCTTTTTCTCTTCAATTTCTCCTCCACGGGGTTGTTGCTCTCCACTGAGTCCTCCTTGGACCTTTTATAATTCCCTTCCTTCTTATTTTCCTGCTTTTTCGGACGAGGGGAGGAGAAGGAGGCTGCTTGTTGCATGGTGAGGAGAAAACCGCCCATCTAAATCAACTCTTAAAAACTAACTCAACTCATGCAGAAACTCTCCTTGGACACCAAAGAGCCCTTTGATGCTCCCAATGCTTTGCTCCCCAAAGCCCATCCCTGCTGCGTTGGGTGGGAATCGAAGTGCTACTGAGGTCTCATTCAGGTTAAATCTTCTGTTTTTTTCACTCCCATTTGGAGCCAAAGCAGCAGGCCCTAGTGGTGGCCAGAGGGGCACTTTCCAAATGGATTTTCCTCGTCTTGCACCCATCTCTAGTTCCAGTAGGCTAATGTAGGCTAATTGTAGGCTAATAGCCTGAGTTGGATTGGCCTGACTCAAGGCAGCTTTTTCCATCTCTGCTTTAGTCTGTCCATGATTTGCAGTGTGGAGCAGTATTTATTTCTCTGTTACTTCAAGCCAACACTTCTTCATCCCTTTCCACCCATCCATCCATGTGGAAAGAAGCTCTCTCAGTCCTTTGGCCTGTGTTCAAGTCTGGTCAGCTCTTCCTTGGCGGATGCACAATTTTTTCCCCAATATTTTAACTCTCACTCAAATAAATTGCACAAAGTTAGGAAGAGTTTTTTGCATCTATGGGCCCTCCAGAAATAAATGATTGTCTTATAAAGAGCCAGCAGAAGGACGTTAGTCCACTTGGTTGTTGACACTCATCTTCTTTTGAAAGAGGATTTTTTTTATGCCATGCAATAGCAATGAGATCGCCTTTCTTGTTAAAGCCTCTTTTAATTTGGACAAACAGCATTTTGCCATAGAGCCATGTAAGGATTGGGTGCCGAGACAGATCTGCAGAGACACCTAGTGATACATTTTTTTATACTAAAGTGTCCAAATTGCCAGAAATTTTTCAACTTCTTTGAGTCCTTAATCTTAAAATAGGAAACATTTTCCAATGCGATGGAATAGCAAGCATAGCACAATTTGGCTGGTGTTCATGACCCAATGTCGTTAGGACGCAAACCATATTTTTTTATACTCCATGGAGGTCTGTCTGTATTTATTTTACTGCAGAGCATCCACTTCCTTTGGGTATCCCTAGTTTTGCATTGCTAGGAAGACAGAACGGTGTCCTGCAGTGAAGACATGGAAATGCCATAAATTTTTCTCATTTCCTTTTCTTATAATTCCTAATATTCTGGCTTTTTTGCATGCTGCTGAGCCAGTGTTTTAGGATGACTCTCCTCTATGCCACCAAAATGTCTCTCTGGATGGTTGTATCTCCTTGAGAAGACGGTGGCCCACCTGGATGGGAGCACCTGGAGATGGGAGTTTCTGCTTCTAGTGTTGGGACATCCCCAAATAATTTCCTCCAAAAATGGTCTTCCAGATGCCCATCTTTTTGGGTGAATCATGGAAAAACGAGGTGGGAGAGGAGCGCTGGAGGCCGACCCAAAGCTCTGGTTGCTCCCAACCGCAATTCGAAGCTCTCCGAGGAGCATAACATGGTTTTATGTAAACATGTAAGTATTTCCACCCTGTTAATCCTGCGGCAGCTCAGAGGCTTTGCAAAAGCTTCTAGGTTTTGATTTCCTTATGCTGAGGATGCCTCATTTTTTAGATCACACCAAGAAACGCCAGAGCCAGGAGAAGGATACATATATATATACATATATATATATAAAACTAAGGTTTTACTGGCATGCTTGTCATTCGTTTTGGTGGCATTGTGAGGGATAAAAAAAACGCAGCCAATATTTTCATTTCAAAGGTGTGCAGGCAAATCAGAGTTTGTTCATAACTGCTGCACAGGGGAAAAAAGATTAAAAAAAAAAACTAATGAGAGAAATGTTTGTGCTGGATCCAAAAAAAAAAAGCGCCAAAAAGGGCAATTTTTCCCCAGCAAAGGGAAATGCTATTTCTAACTCCACCCCACTCTGCTAAACGCTGTGCCTTCCCTCCTTACCCTGGCATCCTTTGCTATAAAATTAATGGCTTTGTGTGCTCAAAATTACCATCTTTTGTTTTATTGCAAAGAAAAAGAGGAACTACGGCTTTTTTCCAACACGCTTTGATTTTCCGGTGTTGCTGCCTCTTGGAAATAGTGCAGAGAAATCCTCGTTTCTTAACCCAAGAAATATGTTTCTCAAAGAAACACATGCAAATGAATTTCAAATTGAATAAAAAGGTGAACGGGAGAATGAGGAGCTCCTTGCGTTGGTGTTTTGTTCAACAGGGAGACGTTGGGGAAAAAGCGAGGCCGAATGGGAAAAAATGGGTAGAGAAGGGGGGGGGTAGAAATCCTGATTTTATTACATACAGTGCGTGCAGTTTTATCTCCATCGCAGCTGGGCAAATTATAGATATAGCGCTATCTCGGGCTTCTACTGAAATGATAATTACATAAATATCACTGGCATAACGCACAAAAAAATCCTACACATCTGGGATGTGCCTTGCTGGTTGCAACGCCTCAGCCCATATTCACCCATCTCCTCCCACCGTGGCACCCTTCCCTTCCCAATATCTGATTTTATCATGAAATACTCAAATAATTCTTCCGTTTGTTCTTTTCCCAATTCCCGCTCACATGCAAAAGCTAACGTTACGGTGCCAGGGGAAGAAAAATCCTTTTTTTTTTTGGCAAGAGGTTCCTTAATGGCACCAGGAATGATGGCAAACGAGGGTTTATTCTAGTGGGGCCATGCTCACCCATGGGCACCTATATTGATGATGAGCAATTAATTCCAACTGCCAAAACCAGCAGCCCAATTTTATTATTTTTTATTTGAAAATTTTTTTTTAATACTTCTAGCCAGACAAATCACTGCTATTTTTTTTCCTGCGACTGCTTTTAGTGGCCCATGGCTGTTTGCACATTTAAGATTTTGTTTCCTCTTCAAACGTGGTGCCAACCTCATATTTTTACAAAAATGCTCCTTAATGTCATTGCAGCCAAAGGACAAGAAAGAAGCATTCATATTTTAGAAGAAAATTCCTTTTCTCACTCTTTTCCCTTAATGGAAATAGTGGCTGGGCAAAAGGGAAGAGTTTGGGAAGGCAGAAATTGGCTGCTTTGCAAAGCATAATCCCTCTTTTTCTGATTTTTCCACTTGCAGCAAGGGGGAAGCTCCTTTTTTTTTTGCAATTTCCCTTGTGAAATCTACAGGAAAAAATGAAAGTGGAAAAAAGTGTTATTGTAGGCATCCAAAACGCCACCAGTGAGTGCTCCCAGACAGGCCACTGGTGTGGGGGGCTGCTGCGTCAGGCGTTTCCATTGCAATTTTGGTTTTTTTTAAACTTTTAATTTTAAAAATATATATTTTTTTGATATCCCCCCCGTGGCGGGCGTCTGCCCTGCCACCGGGCAACCTCGCCATGAGCGCCGGAAGCTCGCCGGCTGTGCCAGATATTTTTGGGAAATGAGGAAATCCAGAAATTGTGTGTTCTTTTTTCTCCGTTTCCCCTGCATGAGCTCTCTTTCCTGCAGGCGGAGCCCTGTACCAGCCCGTGACGATGGTGACGTCGCAGGGCCAAGTCCTCGCCCAAGCCATCGCCCCCGGCACCCTGCAGATCCCCAACGCCCAGGTAAGACGCCTGAAAAAAATCAAATTTCCCTTTCCCAGCATTTTTGCAGCTGCAGAGACACTGGTGGCTTCTAAAACATCAGGAATTCACTGATGCATTTCCCAATTTGGGGCAAAAATTAATTAAAAGGGCCACAAACACCTGGGCAGCACCCAGGCACTGCTGCGCTGGGACTGTGGGAATTGCAAAAGTGACTGATTTTATCAATAAATTCAATCCTCAGATGGTCCCAAATTTTTAATTAGCAAGAAAGGCTAATTAACTCCATCTGCAAAGCTCACTTTGGGGTCATTCCCCACCTTTTTCTCCTGACATCCACCAAGCTTTTTTGCATACGGTTTGGGCAGAAATGGAGTGATTTATCTCTTTAGGCAGTGGCGAAGCGGCAAAGGAGCCATGCCGAAACATGGCAGTAAATAAATATATCTAGGCCATCACCGGCAGGTATCCGTCAAATCTACAGGGGGTAGGTGGGCCAAAATTCCCAGATTTTCCCAAAAGGTCGAATTAAAGCATGGGCATGTTGTGCTGTGGGAAACATTGGAGTGAAGTGCAGATTATGAAAAACAAGTGATTTGGAAAGTGAGCTCCATCTTTTGGGGATTTTTTTCCTTTTTTTTTTTTAGCTGAAAATTGAAAATAGCTGTGTGTCCAAACGAGTCGTGGCACCGGCACCACAGTTTGGTCTGGCCTCTGGCTGCACCGACGCAAATCTCCAAAAAAGCATGCACTGATTGTCAAAAATCAGAATGTAAAGTGGGTAAATAGTGTAGAAGGGCTTGAATGCAAATTTGGAGGAAAAGCTAGCCAAACCTCCTAGAAGCCTCCTCTTCCCTGGCCAGTGCCCACTCTCAGCAGCGACACCTTTTTGGTTTCGCGCTCAGAACCCTGTCTGGGGCCATTTCGCCCAGTTTTGGCTGCAGCTCAGGCATCCGTCTTGCTGGCAGGTGAACCTGGATCTCACCTCACTCCTTGATGGCGAGGACAAGAAGTCCAAGAACAAGCGAGGCGTCCTGCCGAAACACGCTACCAACATCATGCGCTCATGGCTCTTCCAGCATCTCATGGTGAGGACCGCGGCGGGCATCGCGGCCCCTGACAGGGTGCTTTCGGGCTGGCGAGAAAAGAGATGCCCAGCAGGGCTGTAATTTGTCCCACTTTGGGGCAAACCCAGGTGGGTTTGTTACAAAAGCTGCCCCCGCAGACACCATTGGGTTTATCTCAGCCTGTTGGCCTGCCCTGTGGTGAGAAACTGAAACGCAAAATTGGCCCATTTTACCCTTTCGGCGGTGCACAGGCAGCTAGCGAGCCAGAGGGTGTGACCCGGTTTGGGTGCCAGGAGCCCACTTTGCCTGGGACGGGAGCAAATAGCTGGGAGCATGGCAGAAAACTGAACTCCCTTCCCCTTTTTCCTGCATAATCGGGCTAAAAAAACTCAGATGCTAGTTGCATGCGCGGGGGCAGCTGCCAGTGTGGCATCATTGGGTTCAGCGGTGTGCTGGGGACCTTGCAGGAACCAGTGGGATTTTTTTAAGAGAAACTCAAATTTTTTTAAGAGAAACAGCTGGGTTTACCCTGAGAAAGCTTTAGCCTTATTACATTATGGTGAAACAGCTGGAAAAATTGATGAAAAAAAAGCATCGTTGGGTTCAGCCGTGAGCACCAAAGCTGATTGCAAAGAGTTTTGCAAGAGTTTCTGCAAGTGGGTGAGGGAGTCCCTCAGCATTGAGTGTTTTTAGCGCTCCAAATTGAGTTTTTCAAGTTGCATGCGTCACCCGCAGAGGAAAAGGTCCTTCCATAAGTTCCTTCAGTGAGGAGGACATGGTGGAGCCTCATCACCTGGATGTGATCACGCACTGTTTCATAGGGCTCCTACCGGAAGACTGAAATTTCAGGTCTCTGTGTTGGGTGTGGCCATCTAAAAATGAAAAATAATAGGCCAAAGGGTCAACACGGGGAAGATCATGGCTGAGAGGTTGTCCGCAAGACGTCCTGCAGCTAGTGGTGAACTTCTTGCCATTTCTCATGGAAAATCTTGGATTGTCTGAACCCAGGACCAGGGGGTCACCATGTTGGGTGGCCATTTCATGCTGCTGCCATCCATCTCCCACACCATGCTGGTGTTTCAGAGGGCCTGGTTGCAGTTTTGCCACTATAAAAAAGGATTTGGAAGATCAGAAGCTGGTTCCTCCTTGGTACCACACTGCATGAAATGGGATGGAAAGCGAGGAAAAAAATTGTTCTTCTACCAGCAGAGATGCAGCGTTGGGATAGGCTCTGCACTCCCACTAGTCCTATGGCCAGCACATGGTTGGGCTTCCCA